TTCTTATACCTTATCTTTCCGCAAACAATCTTGTAAAATCTGTATTGATCTTCTCTATCAATATATATTTTAAATTTGAAAATTGTGTTTGTATTCACCCCCCCTTCTACAAACTGTTTAGTATTCTTGTAGACCCTTTTGGGACCAACAGAATATTTTTCAAAACTCTATATGTATGATTTTACAGAGTTGGTCTCTATAGTTTGATGAGTTTTACAAAAATAAGAAAAAACATGATTGGAAAATTTTATCGTTCACTTTGACTGACATTTCTAATGCAGTTAGTGATGAGACACCATTTTAAGAGTAAAATGAGAACCACAACGATGATTTCTAGACTTATCAAATTTCAGGTCTCACTTTCAAATATTTCACTAAGGTGGCGTGTGTTTTTTAAGAGGTGCTTAAGTCTGAAGTCTGAATTCACTTCTGAATTTTAAGAGGTGGTGCTGAAGTCTGAAATCTGAATCAGTCAGACTGTTTGTTTTTACGTCTGAAATCTGAAATCTGAATCAGTCAGACTGTTTGTTTTTACGTCTGAAGTCTGAAATCTGAATCAGTAAGACTGTTTGTTTTTGTAAACTGAGACAAGCGACGTAAGGAGGCGATAGAAATAAAAGGTTTTAAGTGCTAAGATTACCACTTAAAAATTCAGAGGAAAATAAATGAATTCAGCTCTTAATTTGAAAAAAAAACAAACGATCTGAAAGTTCTTATGTCTGACCGATTCAGACATAAGAGGAGATTAAATGAAAAATTAAAAAAACAAACAGCCCCTAAATCTCAAGGACAAAAATCAAAGTTTACTTTGTATCTTGTAATATCATGTTGTAAACCACTCTCAATATAATGTTTTAATTACACGTTCTCAACACATCTTCTCAAACCTAAGTTGGATGGCTTATATAGAATCTCATGGTTCTCAAAGATTATAGGTTTCTCATTTGATTATAACGTTATTTTTTTATTATATATGTGTATGTATATATATATATATATATATATATATATATGTGTGTGTGTGTGTGTGTGTGTGTGTGTGTGGGTGGGTGGGTGCGTGCGTGCGTGCGGGCACGTGCGTGCATGCGTGTGCGTGTGTGCATGCGTGCGTGCGTGTGTGTGTGTGTGTATCCGTGCGTGCACGTGTGCGTGCGCGTACGCGTGTGCGTGTGTGTGTGTGCATGCGTGTGTGTGTATATGTAATACACACAAGGACCATCGTCCCTATACCTTCCATTTTCGTTCGGTGAACACCCTCCCCCTCAACTAATCTTCGATGTCATTGCCCATCACCCACATCATTCTCCACCAGCGAACCACCTGCTCAACCACCTTCCACCTAGGGATGAAATCACAGGAATATAGACACCCATACTTGATCTGTTCCAGTGAGTTTTTTTCAACATACACCGTGCATGTGTGTGTGTGTTTTGCACAGATCTAAGAAAAAACACAATGACCTCTGCATTTTTTACCGAGCTGGTCCCTATAATTAAGATTGGGTTGGAAGAGAAGATGAAGGTCGGTGAGATTTGAGAGAGGTCATTGTGTCTTCACAGAAATTTGGAGTTGGTGATTGGAATATGTTGATCATCTCTCTCAGTGATTTGATGATAATCCCTTTTTCCTTTCGATGTATTTTATGTTTCTGTACTTTCAGTTCCAGCGATCAATACACTGAGCTTGTTCAGTGATCGCTGAAGACCTCGCATTGTAATTCATTCAGAGACATCTACTTCAAGAAAACAACACTCACACCAAAGATCCTTCAGCAAAAGTCGAAGACTGAAACTGAAGATTAGAGACTGGCGCGTACGTGATCTGAAGCGGTATTCAGTGATTACAAACCTGTCTAGCTATGTGTGAAGACTG